TCAAAACCAACTAATAAAGGACGCAGTGAAGAAATAAATCAACATAAGATGGAAAGAGAGAATGCAATGTTTTTTGTTTTATTTTTCAAGTTAACTTCAAGCCGTTTATAGAAGTTTATTAGGAAAAAAAACTTACCCATATTAACATGTTAAAAATATTTTGTTCAAACTCTTGATTGCATACTGCAGCCTTCTTGATAATGATTGATTTCAAAGTCGTTTAATATATTCATGTTTTAAAACAACGTACAACTGTGTAAACATTTCAGCCCCCTAGTGGCTCGGCGGTAAGCCTAAAAAGCTTATAACGCACAGATAGCCCATTCTGTAGCTAAATAACAAACAAACAACAAATAGTTTATTTCGCAACCCTGTGCTAAATAACAAACAAATAGCAAATAGCCTATTTCGCAACTCTATGCTAAATAACAAACAAATAGCAAATAGCCTATTTCGCAACTCTATGCTAAATAACAAACAAATAGCAAATAGCCTATTTCGCAACTCTATGCTAAATAACAAACAAACAACAAATAGTTTATTTCGCAACCCTGTGCTAAATAACAAACAAATAGCAAATAGCCTATTTCGCAACTCTGTGCTAAATAACAAACAAATAGCAAATAGCCTATTTCGCAACTCTATGCTAAATAACAAACAAACAGCAAATAGTTCCTGTTCAATTTTGCCATCGCTAAGTTCAATCTCTTAACTTAGAAACTGACGCTGATTGATGATAAATGTTGCCTATGTTACATCTTGCTCCAAGTAAGCAAGCCTACAGCTATGATTTGCACTTACTATGAGAGTTGGGATAAAATCACTTCTAGAGAAACAAATTCCTATTTCAGTGTGTGTTCAAAGGGAAAATTATGTTTCTAGGCAACATCTCTACATTCTAGGCGTGAGGTCATGGTTTAGTTTGATAAGCAACACAATAACTCAGGTTGTTGCCTAAAGAATATTTAATTGAACTCCATCGATACTAATGCAAGGGTGTGGCAAGGCTATGAAGTAAATATTTCACAAGTGGGAGGAACAGTCAAAAGGCCAGCAGGCTTCAAACATAACCAATATGTTCTTTACGCCAGAGCTGACAGTTTCATTAACTTCTTGTTCATAAGTAGGTAGATGCCTCTACGTGACCCAGATATTACTGGACAGTATAGATTAGGTGAATAGATATAGAGAAAACTGTTGTAACATTCTGGAGTTTTGTGTATTTATTCATAAAATCAAAGTCTATGTTATATTATTCAATATTTTTATTTTTTAGTGTGTGTTTGATAGTGTTTATGAAAGTAGATTACGAAGGAAAAGTCCTAAAATATAACAACAGGGATCAACACTGAAACATGGACAATACAATAACTGGGATCAACACTGAAAAAAAATCAATAATACAACAGGGATCAATACTCAAACATGGACAATACAATAACTGGGATCAACACTGAAAAAAATCAATAATACAACAGGGATCAACACTGAAACATGGACAATACAATAACTGGGATCAACACTGAAAAAATCAATAATATAACAACAGGGATCAACACTGAAACATGGACAATACAATAACTGGGATCAACACTGAAACATGGACAATACAATAACTGGGATCAACACTAAAAAATGGACAATACAATAACTGGGATCACCACTGAAAAAAATATCAATAATACAACAGGGAGCAACACTGAAATGTGGAACATTTTTACTTTAAGAGAAAAGTGAATTTTACATGTGACATGTTATTTAAGCCTTCTTTAGCGTCTCTTTCACAGCGAAAAGGTAATATTTGAAATATATATATATGTATATAAGTAAGATTTTGTATTAAACTATATTATTATTATTTAGTGGGTAAGAATTCAGTAAATCATCGTAAAGATATCTAAGACAATTAAAGTTATTCTCGTATTCTTTAAAATACTAGAATTGTAAAGGTAATTCATTCAGTCAGCTTATTGCTATGTCAGTAAGACATTAGTGTTCTGGCAGTAAGTGTTGTTGGAAGAAAGAGCTCTGACACACGTGATGTCTTTATTCATTTACATAGACGTCTCTCCAAGTGAAGCCTGAACAACAAATGTGTAATCAATAAAAAGTGTCTTGTTAGATAAAAAAAAAAAAGACTATTTTATGGGAGTACTAAATCCTAAAACTTGTTTGTCCTTACGTGGAAAACACTGTTGTTTGTCCGTACGTGGTAAACACTGTTGTTTGTCCGTACGTGGAAAACACTGTTGTTTGTCCTTACGTGGAAAACACTGTTGTTTGTCCGTACGTGGTAAACACTGTTGTTTGTCCGTACGTGGAAAACACTGTTGTTTGTCCGTACGTGGAAATACTGTTGTTTGTCCATACGTGGTAAACACTGTTGTTTGTCCGTACGTGGTAAACACTGTTGTTTGTTCATACGTGGAAAACACTGTTGTTTGTCCGTACGTGGAAAATACCGTTGTTTGTCCATACGTGGTAAACACTGTTGTTTGTCCTTACGTGGAAAAAAATGTGTGTCCGTAAGTTGAAAACGTTGTGTGTGTCCGTAAGTTGAAAACACTGTTGTTTGTGTCCGTAAGTTGAAAACACTGTTGTTTGTCCATACGTGGAAAACACTGTTGTTTGTCCTTACGTGGAAAAAAAAATGTGTGTCCGTAAGTATAAAACGTTGTGTGTCCGTAATTTGAAAACTGTTGTTTGCCCGTACGTGGAAAACACTGTTGTATGTCCATACGTGAAAAACACTGTTGTTTGTCCATGCGTGGAAAACACTGTTGTTTGTCCATACGTGGAAAAAATGTGTGTCCGTAAGTAGAAAACGTTGTGTGTCCGTAATTTGAAAACTGTTGTTTGCCCGTACGTGGAAAACACTGTTGTATGTCCATACGTGAAAAACATTGTTGTTTGTCCATACGTGGAAAACACTGTTGTTTGTCCATGCGTGGAAAACACTGTTGTTTGTCCATACGTGGAAAATATGTGTGTCCGTAAGTGGAAAACGTTGTTTGTCCGTACGTAGTAAACGTTGTTTGTCCGTAAGTTGAAAACTGTTGTTTGTCCGTACGTAGTAAACGTTGTGTGTCCGTAAGTTGAAAACTGTTGTTTGTCCGTACGTGGAAAACCCTGCCGTACTACTCGGACTACGCCAATGAAGCTCTGATTGAAGTTGTGGTCGGTATATTACTTGATTGTAGCGTCTTCTTCTTTAGTTTTCACCCTAATTTCTCTCACTTTATTCCTATTTTCTAGGACTAGACAAACACTCCCTTCAAATCGGAAGTTCTAATCCATCATTCAGTTTGTTTACTAAACAGAAGCTTGAATATTTGAAACACGTGTATTTATTTGTTGCTGTTCTTGTTTTTAAATTTTAATTATTATTTTCCAGACGCCTGTGGCATCTCGGACGTCGGGCACATCGAGAGCTTACAGGAAAAATCCCAGTGTGCTCTAATTTGTTTACTAAACAGAAGCTTGAATATTTGAAACACGTGTATTTATTTGTTGCTGTTCTTGTTTTTAAATTCTAATTATTATTTTCCAGACGCCTGTGGCATCTCGGACGTCGGGCACATCGAGAGCTTACAGGAAAAATCCCAGTGTGCTCTGGAGGAGTACTGTAGGACACAGTACCCCAACCAGCCTACTCGGTTCGGTAAGCTTCTCCTTCGCTTGCCTTCCCTAAGGACCGTCAGCTCCCAAGTGATAGAGCAACTGTTTTTTGTACGGCTGGTGGGAAAGACACCTATAGAAACCCTCATAAGGGACATGTTGTTGAGTGGCAGCTCTTTCAACTGGCCCTACATGCCACTGCAGTGACCCTTGTAGAGGTCATGATCACATTTTCAATATGCCCCATCTCTTGTGGTGATCATTCCTCACTGAAGATAGACAATATTTAGTATGAAAATCCATCAGCACGTCTGGATCCTAATGCTATTCTTTATGGAAAATGAAGAAAGTGAAGAGTACCGTCGAGAAACCGTGGTTTTTCCGGCCCCAAAAGTTCAAGGCTCAGTTCAAGTCAATTACTTATTGCAACAATGTTTAGAATAAGTACTGAAGATAAACTTGATGTATATACGCGTTGCCAGGACACAACACATCATATATTACTATACGCGTTGCCTGGACACAACGCACTATATATATTACAATATGCGTTGTCTACAAACGACTCGTCATATTTTACTTATAGTGGGGAAAAAAAATTAAAACATTTGAAACATCAAATTACTGTTTTGTCAGCGCTGTATAGAGTAGTTTTTATCATTTGAACATTTTGTTTTCGTTAACAAGAGAAATACGTCGAAATTGCTTTTATGACATGGAGTTGTGCTACGCAAGTTACAGAACATTTTATAATCATGACAAGTTCTTCTTCATTAAGGCAGTTTTGAAGAAAACAGTTTATAATTTAAACATGTCTACTTGTCTAAAATCACGCTGTAATGTAAAAAAAAAAGAATTATATGCCGGTGAAAGTTTTATTTCAGGTTTTAGCTGTCTCAAGAATTACTCCTTTTGACTTATTGCTTTGGTTAGTGAAAATCTACAATGTAGCCAGTTATTCAAACAGATTTTTTTTTTCTGTCCACAAAATGTTGCCATAAAATGATAGTTTATTAATTATGTTTCCAAGACAGGTCGCTGACGTAATAAGTGTTTTTATAAAATATTGATAACATTTTGTTTTAGACGCTGATATCTAGTTGTACATTGTTTATATCTAAGTGTTGTTGGGAGAAAGAGCTCTGACATACATAATGTCTTCATTCAATTACTGAAACGTAAATCCCTCTCTCAATTAAAGCCTGAAAAACAAATGTGTAATGAGTAAAAACCCCATCTTTCTAGACGACGTCAGTTAGTTACAGAAATATATCTGGCCAACATCTAAATAAAAACATGCATATCTTCAACTGACACACGTGCAGTATATTTATAAATCAAAAGAAGGACGTGAGGAAACGAGATATGGCGAGAAGTTGATGTTTGGCTTGAATAAGCGCCTCAGACGAAACGTTTCTTCAGGAAGTTGTCTGTTTCTTGTGAGAAACACAACGTTAAACGACAACGAACCAATTATAACTAGAAATACATTTTTGGTTAATTATTGACATTGTTCTCTACATGTTAAACGAGGAGACATTTATCTTCTTCTTTTTAGAGGCGACGTTAAGGTCAGCCAGCAGGTCTAATCAAAACCTTAGGCGACGTTAAGGTCAGCCAGTAGGTCTAATCAAGGCCCTAGGCGACGTTAAGGTCAGCCAGTAGGTCTAATCAAGGCCCTAGGCGACGTTAAGGTCAGCCAGCAGGTCTAATCAAAACCTTAGGCGACGTTAAGGTCAGCCAGCAAGTCTAATCAAGACCTTAGGCAACGTTAAGGTCAGCCAGCAGGTCTAATCAAGGCCTTTTCCAAGATTAAAATGTCTCCAGTCAAAACCAATTAAGGACGGATGTAGTCCACTGTACTTGAAAAAAAAAATAAATCATAATATGCTTGTGTATCATCACTTGAGGTCGGCACTGCTAGAATGTTGTAGGATTCACATGATATCTGACCAGCCACATTTTGAAAGAGTATATTTCATATTTTGAATGAGCAAATTGAAGAATATTATTCTGAAGGTTTTCAAATAAATTCTTAAAGTATTTATAATAAAGCAATGTGTCCTTTTTTTGTGAGGACCACACTAGGTTTTAACCTCGTCATTACATAAAACGAGCAATCTTATTATTAAACTAAATAACGACGTTCGTGTTAGGTTGTTATGAGGACATAAGGACCACACTAGGTTTTAACCTCGTCATTACATAAAACGAGCAATCTTATTATTAAATTAAATAACGACGTTCGTGTTAGGTTGTTATGTTGTCCTAGACGAAAAAATTATGGTTGTCACCGAATTAGATTGTATATTGCCCAAGGCAACATATTTGGGTTGTCACCGTGTTAGAAGTTGCTATGTTTTCCAAAACATCAATCAACTTATGGTTGGCACCATGATACGTTGTCACGGCGTTCAAGACATCAACTTGTGGTTGTCACCATGTTAGGTTTCCACGGCGTTCAAGACATCAACTTGTGGTTGTCACTATGTTAGGTTTCCACGGTGTTCAAGACACCAACTTAAGGTTGTCACTATGTTAGGTTTCCACGGTGTTCAAGACATCAACTTAAGGTTGTCACTATGTTAGGTTTCCACGGTGTTCAAGACATCAACTTAAGGTTGTCACTATGTTAGGTTGCCAGGTTCCCAAGGTCTTCAAGAAATCACCAGTAGAATGATCTCTAAGTTTGTTTTAATATTCGAGAAAGTATTTTTTGTCTTTTATATCATTCAAATTTTTGTATTACACAAATAAAATTGTTTCGACGAGGTTTTAACATTTATCTAGACACGTGGCAAAAAAATAAATAAACAAATGAAATATGACGTTCTTAGTACTTAATTCCTCGTGTTTTCTTTAGTAACTGTGATCTTTGTGCTTCAATAATTCTTAGTGAACTATAATATAATTTTTCTTAATTTCTTCTGCATAATCCAAGCCTCTTTTTTTTTAACAATTATTTAAAGTTACAGTTTAAAAGAAGAAATTATCCTGAAAAGAAGATGCGGCTTTTGAACACTTTAAGAAAACGAACATACAAAATGTAATGGACGTTTCAAAACCTAACACGTGTTTTTTTCAGCTCGATTTACAAGAGGTTTATTGTATGATGTATTTAAATCAGAAAACCAAAGACATTTTCTATAATTTACTTTTAATACAATCAAACAAGTACAAGTCAATAAATGAAAACTTAACCAAACCCGGTACTTTTGTATGAAATATTTAAACGTTCGTGTTTCGCAAACAGCTTGGTAACTTGAATTGCAATCACTGTCCTACTATAAACATGACTGTATTATTATTTTATAATAATAATAATAATATTTTTGGAGTTACAAATATATTAGTTTTTTTTATCGAACATTCCTGTAAAGTTAATTGAATCAATTTTAAATATACAGCTAACAGTAACAACAAAAGGAAATTATAAGTTAAGATCCACAGCAAATAACAATCTCAGTCAGATTATTAGCACAAAATTCTATAGTTTTAATGTATGGAATAGCCCTCGGGTTTCAACAGATTATTAGCACAAAATTATATAGTTTTAATGTATAAAATAGCCCTCGGGTTTCAGCAGATTATTAGCACAAAATTCTATAGTTTTAATGTATGGAATAGCCCTCGGGTTTCAGCAGATTGTTAGCACAAAATTATATAGTTTTAATGTATGGAATAGCCTTCGGGTTTCAACAGATTATTAGCACAAAATTCTATAGTTTGAATGTATGGAATAGCCCTCGGGTTTCAACAGATTATTAGCACAAAATTCTATAGTTTTAATGTATGGAATAGCCCTCGGGTTTCAGCAGATTATTAGCACAAAATTCTATAGTTTTAATGTATGGAATAGCCCTCGGGTTTCAACAGATTATTAGCACAAAATTCTATAGTTTTAATGTATGGAATAGCCCTCGGGTTTCAGCATATTGTTAGCACAAAATTCTATAGTTTTAATGTATGGAATATCCCTCGGGTTTCAGCAGATTATTAGCACAAAAGTATATAGTTTTAATGTATGGAATAGCCCTCGGGTTTCAACAAATCCACTCATATACACGTTCTACGTGGTAACTGATTTTAAGACAAAGAGTTTCATGGTAAATAGAAGTGATACCATGTAAAGGACAATGTTTCATGGTGACTAGAAGTGACACCATGTAAAGGACAAAGTGTTGCACGGTGACTAGAAATGACACCATGTGAAGGACAATGTTTCACGGTGGACTAGAAGTGACACCATGTAAAGGACAATGTTTCATGGTGACTAGAAGTGACACCATGTAACGGACAAAGAATTGCATGGTGACTAGAAGTGACACCATGTAACAGACAAAGATTTGCACGGTGACTAGAAGTGACACCATGTAAAGGACAATGTTTCATGGTGACTAGAAGTGACACCATGTAACGGACAAAGATTTGCACGGTGACTAGAAGTGAACCATGTAAAGGACAATGTTTCATGGTGACTAGAAGTGACACCATGTAACGGACAAAGATTTGCACGGTGACTAGAAGTGACACCATGTAACAGACAAAGATTTGCACGGTGACTAGAAGTGACACCATGTAACAGACAAAGAGTTTCATGCTGACTAGAAGTGACACCATGTAACGGACAAAGATTTGCACGGTGACTAGAAGTGACACCATGTAACGGACAAAGATTTGCACGGTGACTAGAAGTGACACCATGTAACAGACAAAGATTTGCACGGTGACTAGAAGTGACACCATGTAAAGGACAATGTTTCATGGTGACTAGAAGTGACACCATGTAACGGACAAAGATTTGCACGGTGACTAGAAGTGATACCATGTTAAATGTTCAGTGTTGATAGTTGGCTGGCAGCCAATAGGTACGTATCATCAAGGTCAAACGTTGAGGTGTCCTTGTAAAGTGTTCAGAACCACAACATACAGTTTCGTAATGGCTGTCGAGAGAAAGTTGCAAACATCAGACAAGTGGTCAGTCATTTGATAAGGTCAAAAAATGTCCGTCTTCAGTCTAGAAAAACAGACCACTCGCTGGTCAAGAAAATTGTGACATGACCAAGTGTTCAAAATGAGAAACACGCTCTATTAATTTCAATATAAAAACAGAACCTCACAACCCACAGCGGCTTCTGTTCCTAAACCTATCACAAAACTTTGAAGAAAAAAAACACATACGGGATGGTGGAATCAACGCGTGTCACCCGGTGGGACGGCGGTAAGGCTACGGACTTACAATGCTAGAATCCGGGGTTCGATTCCCTGCGATGGACACAGTAGATAGCCCAATGTTACAATGCTAGAATCCGGGGTTCGATTCCCCGCGGTGGACACAGTAGATAGCCCAATGTTACAATGCTAGAATCCGGGGTTCGATTCCCCGCGGTGGACACAGTAGATAGCCCAATGTTACAATGCTAGAATCCGGGGTTCGATTCCCCGCGGTGGACACAGTAGATAGCCCAATGTCGCTGTGCTGTAAAACAAACATATACGGCATCAGCGTTGGTCGAATGTTTGTAATTGGGTCTTGATGACACAATACTGGTCACGTGAAACATACAGAACAGCAAGGGAATGCTTTGGCCACACGTGCTTTTAGTTATACATTTGTTTAGACTTTATAATTTGTTAATTCTTTAAACATCTTTATAATAATAACAAACGATAATCTGACCTCTAAGACTTTATGCTAATAAAATAACATGTTAGTAAACAGCGATTTATAAACATAACAAAGAGTTTTATTTTGGGGTGAATCTGAAGAAGAAGATCGTGTAGTATGTTCTCCCCAAAATAAAACATTTAATTATGCTTATAAATCGTTGTTTGCCAACTTGTTTTATCGTTTACTATTGGAACTCAAAACAAGTCAATCTCTAGATCGATTGGTTGAAAGAACCGTGTACTAAGTAACGTAGAAGTAACCAAATCTTAAACTGATTGGTTGAAAGAACTGTGTACTAAGTAACGTAAAAGTAATCAAATCCTAAACTGATTAGTTGAAAGAACCGTGTACTAAGTAACATAAAAGTAATCAAATCTTAAACTGATTGGTTGAAAGAACCGTGTACTAAATAACGTAAAAGTAATCAAATCTTAAACTGATTGGTTGAAAGAACCGTGTACTAAATAACGTAAAAATAATCAAATCTTAAACTGATTGGTTGAAAGAACCGTGTACTAAGTAACGTAAAAGTAATCAAATTCTAAACTGATTGGTTGAAAGAACCGTGTACTAAGTAACGTAAAAGTAACCAAATCCTAAACTGATTGGTTGAAAGAACCGTGTACTAAATAACGTAAAAGTAATCAAATCTTAAACTGATTGGTTGAAAGAACCGTGTACTAAGTAACGTAGAAGTAATCAAATCCTAAACTGATTGGTTGAAAGAACCGTGTACTAAATAACGTAGAAGCAATGAAACAATAAACCAGTTGGTTGAAAGAACCGTGTACTAAGTAACGTAGAAGCAATGAAACAATAAACCAGTTGGTTGAAAGAACCGTGTACTTAGTAACGTAGAAGTTATCAAACCACAAACCAGTTGGTTGAAAGAACCGTGTACTAAGTAACGTAGAAGCAATGAAACAATAAACCAGTTGGTTGAAAGAACCGTGTACTTAGTAACGTAGAAGTTATCAAACCACAAACCAGTTGGTTGAGGGGAATATATACTGTTGAGAGTTAAATAATATGATAACCAACAGAGTTGAGCTGAGCTGAGGAAATCAGATTTTTGTTCGAGATTCAGAAGGTATTTGCTGTAGAGGAAACATAGCCAATGATCTATTTTCCACATCACGTGATAACTATTCAAACTAGTAATGCACTCTGTGTGTGAATTATGAAAACTCTGTAAAGTGCAGATGTTGGTTTTCCCACATTCATCGTAATTTGCCCATTGCGACAAAATTAGTTATTACAGATGTTTTAAAAATAATATATAAGATCTATCTTTTGTCTTATACAAACCAACTGCCCAAGAAGCTTTTCGTTTAATACCAGAACTCATCAGCTGGTCTGGTCGATGAAAGACTATGAAACACTATTTATATATATATGCAGTACAATACTTTATTTTATTGCAAACCAATAGGCCTAAAATTGTTTTAAAAAATCAGATTAACTGCAAATGTTTTTTTTTTCACATTCCTCTTAATTTGTCCATTGCGGCTCAAAATCAGTGACGTGTAAAAAAAAATAGCATTGCAGCGTTTAAACCGCAACTTTTAAAGTATGCGTAAAACGTTTTATTTTTCACATATGTAGCAGGAAAAGGTGTAAAAATAAAGGGGTTTGTTTTGGTTTTAATACAGCACAACAATGTAGCCATTACGTCTGAATGCAGGATGTAGTAGTGGAGACGTAATTCAATGTACGTAACTAATCGTTAACGTCTTAGCAGATATAAGATATTCCCCTTTTCTTGTTGCTTTAGGCAACTGAGATATATATATATAAGGAATACAGTAAAAACCTGGTGATGACGGAAAGCAGCAGTATAGTGATTGTTTATACGTTCATCTGACCCTAACATGACAATGAAAATAAAAAATATCTTTGTGACGTCATGAAATTATCTGGTTCGAATCCTTTACAATTTAAATGTGCGGGGGGGGGGACTTTAACATTGTTTAAGTTCAGTGATTTTTAACCCTTCGACAATTCATTTATTCCTTCCCGTTTTGGTGGGGAGGGCGCTCGACAAGCTATCTGTGGGTCGCGGGTTCGAGCCCCGTCACCTAACATGTTCGCCCTTTCAGCTGTTGGAGCCGTTATAACGTGATGATCAATCCAACTTTTCGTTCGTAAAAATAGCCT